TGGACATTGACCAAACTGAACTAAGCAACTCAATGGCGGCGATGGGAGGGAGGGAACAAGTGGGAAAGAGGGAACAGCTGATGCCATGCAAAACAAAAGAAATGTACATATCACCCAATGTGGAAGAATAACTATTGCAAAGCTCATAGGACTCATAAATGTTATAGACCGCCGGGCGCTGGTGGCTCATGCCTGTAATCCTAGCTACTCAGGAGGCTGACATCTGAGGATCACGGTTCAAAGCCAGCCCGGGCAGGAGAGACCGTGAGACTCCTATCTCCAATAAACCACCAGAAAACCGGAAGTGGCGCTGTAGCTCAAGTGGTAGAGGGCTGGCCTTGAGCTGAAGAGCTGAGGGACAGCGCCCAGGCCCAGAGTTCAAGCCCCATGACCAACAAAAATAAATAAATAAATAAATGTTATAGACCGTGATAGACAATTTGTCCTATGAAAGTTAGAATGTGTTTGTGACTTTAACTAAGCTTCACTATCCCACACAATACTGTGAAATTTGGGAAATTATGTAACCACTTAATCACAATAAAATTTTTGAAAAAAAAAATGTCAAATGAAGAGGTAACTGCTGGATAGGAAAGATACTCATTACCTTACTCATGTAACTGTAACCCCTCTGTACAGTATTTTTACAATTAAAAAAAAATGTGTCATTTGGAGGTTCATTTCCGCTTAGCATCATCTTATATGGTCACCTTTTCTGCTTGTCTGGTAACATTATCTTAGACATATACTAGTTTTTGCAAATAAGAGAAACCATGAGACCTATGTTTCTTTGGGTCTGACTTACTTCACTTAATATAATTTTGTCCAAGTTTCCGTTTCCTAACAAGAGGGGCGGTGTCATTCTTTCTGATGGAGGCATAGAATTTCATTGTATATATTTGCCACATTTTCTTGATCCATTCATCTACTGAGAGGCATCTGGGTTGGTTCTATATCTTAGCTACAAGAGGTTTTTTCTTTGTCACTGTTGTTTTTAATGTGCTATGTGATTTTTTTTTTTTTGTTTCTTTTGTATGTTCTTCCCCCATGGTATATCCCCTGTTGTCACTGTATTTGATTCTGCTGCCCTACATCTTGTATATACATTTTTCTAATTTGGGGAGGGGAAGGGAAATAACAAAATGCTGAAACAAGGATACAGGTTGACCCATTGTAACAATATAGACATAAAGGCACTACGTTGAAAATGAACTTTACAACTCAGTGGAGGGGGCAGGGGAGGGATAATAGGGGAAAACAAAGGAGGAGGTAACAATGCTCCATAGGAAATGTATTTATTACCTTATTTATGTAACTAAACCCTCTGTACAGTATCTTTATAATAAAAAATAATGTATCATGCTGGGCACTGGTGGCTCACATCTGTAATCCTAGCTACTCAGGAGGCTGAAATCAGAGGATTGTAGTTCAAAGACAGCCCAGGCAGAAAAGTTCCCATGAGACTCTCATCTCCAATTAACCACTCAAAATCCAGAAGCAGAACTGTGGCTCAGAGTGGTAGAGCTCTAGCCTTGAGCAAAATTGCTTAGGGACAGCACCCCTGAGTTCAAGTTCCACAACTGACAAAAAAAATAAAATGGGCCATGTGCCAGGTGCCAGTGGCCCAGGCCTGTAATCCTAGTTATTCAGGAGGCTGAGATCTGAGAATCGTGGTTTGAAGCCAGCCCAGGTAGGAAAGTCCATGCAACTCTTCTCTCCAATTAATCACAGATAAAGCCTGAAGTGGTACTATAGCTCAAGTGGTAGAGTGTTAACCTTGAGCAAAAGATTAGAGAGAGAACCCAGGCCCAGAGTTCAAGGCCAGGACCAGAAAAAAAAAAGTGTCATGTAAACATAGATAGAGTGAGAATTAGAAAATTCCTCACTTGTGATTCCCAATGATTGAAGCAGAAACCATCAATAGAAGCTAAGACCTATTAGTAAAAGATAATAGGAAAGGGGAAGATGTCTGTATAGAGTTAAGGCATCACATAATAGTATTATACTCCATAATTATACTTACATAAAGTTATACTCCAGATTTCTTAGTAATCACAATGGGGGAAATACACCTTACTATGAAGAAACTCACTGGACACAGACCTTAATCTGGTAACCATACTTGACACAACTAATTACAGGAGAGCCTGACTATATGCCTCTTGATTTGGTGTAACATAAAATAATAGTGTTACCTATGAAGTAAACCAACCGAAAGTGCTTGCCTAATGTAATCAAGCCTTCTGAGGCAGCTTCTAGTTTATAGAAAACACAGACTTAGGGGAGCAAGTAGAAGGGCCTTGAAAGAAGAACTGCAGGTCCAGAATGTGGGACATCTATAAGGAAACTGCATGGATTTCTTCAGAAGGCTAATGTCATTCAGGAGTGTAGTAGTGGGGGGGGGGGGGGGGAGCTTTCCCTATTTGGCTTTCTCAGATAACAGCTGCTGCTGCAGCAGTCTTAGAGTCTTTTAAACCTGGAGTGCATTTGATTCCTTGGCGTCACAGCCCGATTGTGTCCTCTTCATCTGGATATTTCCCATCCCTATTCAATGATACCTATAGCTTATATTTATCTTAAAGAAAGGAGGGACAAAAGGCTTCATATCCCTTTTATGGCACAGTGGATGATAGAACAGTCTTTTTGTCTATTTTGGGGGAGGGGACAGGGTCTCACTGTGTCACCAGGTCGGCCTGGAACTCAAGATACTCCTGCCTTCGACTGCTGGATGCTGGCATTACCAAAATACACCACTATACAGGGCAGAATAATCTTTTTGAAGGCTACTTGAACCAAACAACCATGGTTGGAGGGACACGCATTGCCACATGTAGAAGGGAAAGGAGATGCCAGGTGACTTTTCACAGGAGACAAAATGATCCCAGAGTTTGGCCTTTCAAGACTAGTGGCTCGTAGTTTATTATAGCTACAATTGGTCGTTTTATTTATGCCAGCAGTTGGGAAAATAAAAAACCCAACACCACCTACATAATAGGAGCTTTAATACTCCAAAGTTCCATTAGGTGGCAGTCATGATCCGTGCATATTCCAATATCTGATTATTTAAACCCTAATGAGGGCATTGTAGTGGATAAACATGGCCAAGCAGCTTTGGGGGAGAAGAGTGAGGAAAAACATACGATCATACAAGCTGTGACTTACTAACTAAGAACGACCTATGTGTCCAAATGAAGAACTGCAGGTCATCTGACTTAGCTATTATTTTGATTCTGATACATATTTTTATTTATCCTTGTGACAATGAATTCATTTTATGAATTTATTTATTTTCAAAGCCCTTCAAGACGATTTTTGTGTTGCTTGCATTTTGGTATTGTGCATACAAAAATGGAAGTGTGGCTCATTGTGTTCAAAACCCAATAGATGTAATAGGTAATTTTATAGGGATACACTCTTCCTCTGTAATTACTACTCATGAAAAGCTCTTTGTGGTCCTGATAAATTTTGTAGGTTGGGTTTCCTAGGAAAAGGCCTCTGAGATTTCTGTGCCAGGGATTGTTGGAGCGTGTTTGGTGATATCACCAGTGAGGGAGATGGTAAGACGGCGAGCTGCTGTGTAGTTGCAACAGGTGCCTTCGTCAATCCCATAGAAGGAGCTCTGGAGGTGGGCTGAGATCTTCCACCCCTTATGTCTAGGAGGTCAGGGCTTTATATTCACCCCTCTCTAATTTATCAACTAAGTGATCAACTAGAACTCCTATAGAAGGGACTTAGAGCAATTCAGCTGAGAGCCATCAGCCACCAGAATTCCCCCTGCTGGGAGAATGCGTAATTCCCCACTGAAGAGGAGCTTGCTATAGGAAGATAGGGCAGAGCTTGGTGGGAGAGAGGTTAGCCTAGCATGAGGTCCTAGCACCACACCAAGAGAAAATAATAAAAAATAATAAAAGTATCAAAGCTGTAAAGGAGTCTTGCAGTGAGTTGTAACACGCACTACAGTTGGGAAGAAGGCAGACTTCTCATGCACCATATTTGGGAATCTCTGGTGCTTCTTTTCTTGTAGGAGCACCCATATCAGAAACCTTGAAACTGTTACCTGGTTTTCCTCAGGTTAAAACTAAGGGAGCCGGGTGCCGGTGGCTCACGCCTGTAATCCTAGCTACTCAGGAGGCTGAGATCTGAGGATTGCGGTTCAAAGCCAGCCCAGGCAGGAAAGTCCTTGTCACTCTTATCTCCAGTAAACCAGAAGTGGCACTGTGGCTCAAGCAGTAGAGCGCTCGCCTTGAGCTGAAGAGCTGAGGGACAGTGCCCAGGCCCAGAGTTCAAGCCCCATGGCCAAAAAAAAAAAACCTAAGGGAAAAACATCTGGACACTTCTAGTAGAAGATGCTGTATTTGTTTCAAATAGATTTTTGATATGCCTCTTAGTCTATGTGGAGCTTGCAGATTCATAAGCATTTCAGGTATAAAGATGAACCATTTCTTTTGTTGAAGAATACTCCTTTTAGAGCGCTCGCCTTGAGCTGAAGAGCTGAGGGACAGTGCTCAGGCCCAGAGTTCAAGCCCCATGACCGACAAAACAAAACAAAACAAAAAATACTCCCTTACCTTTTTGCACAATTAGTGATTTTTAGTATATCAGAGGCCATTGGAGCTTTTGGTTTTGCTTTTTTAAAAAGCAAGCAAGGGGCTGGGATGTAGTTAGGTGATAAAGTGCTTGCCTAGCAAGTCAGGCATCCTGGATTTGATCTCTAGTACCAAAAAAGAAAAGACAAAAAAGCAAACAAACTAGAGGTGTTGATACTGGTGGCTCATACCTGTATTCAAGCTAGTTAAGAGCCTGAGATCTGAGGATCATGATTTGAATCCAGCCCAGGCAGGAAAGTCTATGAGACTCTTATCTCCAATTAACTACCATAAAGCCCGAAGTGGAGCTGCGGCTCAAGTGGTAGAATACAAGCCTTGAGCAAAAATGCTAAGGAATAATGAATTAAAACCTCAGGACAGGCACAAAACAAATCACGCAAAAGGAGCAATAAATGTTTTCTAAAAATAGCCTTTTGTCACGTAGTAAATATGTGATTGAGCATTTAGACTTTTATAGGTATGGACATTGTGGAGCATGGCTGTAATCCTAGCCCTCAAGAAGCTGACACAGGAAGACCATATGTCTCAGATCAGCCTGGGTACACAGCAATGTTCTGTAAAAAAAAAACAAGAAAGAAATATTGGGTGGGGGAAAGCATTTAAAAAGTATTTATCTTCCCTTGTCTTTTATATTCTGTTAACAGTTAAATAATCCTAATTTTATTTTAGTCTCCACTGAAGTAATTACTTTCCCTTCTTATAATCATTTGACCAACTGTTAAGAGCAAAAGAAGACACTGACTCTTTGCACACATAGCCAAAAGGGAATTTATCTTACTCCCTGCTTTTATATTTCCTTTTTCAGGAAACGGTGCTCGCCCACCACATTCTCCTACAAGAAGGAAGCCTGGACTCCCTCTGGTCTCCCCAGGAGTCCCACTGTTCCTTTCTACCTCAGCTGGACACCCACTCCATCTACCAAGGGCATTATTCCCAGACCAGCCCTAGTCACTGGATGCCTGCTCCCAACAGTAATGCTCAGAAACTCCGTTAGCACCAGGGAGACCCTCTCAGAGTTCACAACACAGCAATTTATGAGCACCAAGAAAGGTAAAACAACAAAGGGAATGACGTTAAGAATGATGACTAACAGAGTTTGTTTTTTTTTAAATCACTATCTGTCCACATATTTTTGTGCATAAGGTGCATCCATCAAAGTTAAGTGGGTGACATTTGTCCCAGCCTGGCGGAAGGAGCCAGTATGGGATGACTCACCTCCTGTGCCATCAGCAAAGCACCCGGCCTCTGCCTGGCACGACCACACTCACTGAAGGAAGCTCTATTCTGGATCTGTCACTAATTGAATCTTTAAATGGAATCCAATTGCCAGCCAATGTACAAACTTCCCCCACACTCTCAGGTTGTTTCCAGCCTTCCTCCTAATCACTTTTGCAGCCTAGCTGGGTTTGATTGGATTTATCTTTGTTTGCATGGAGAAAGAATTGCAATACCTCCTGATCTAACTTCATTGCTTATCCCTCGCATGGCTTGGGTAGAGCACAGAGGTGATCTCATAGGGTTTTTCCACTCAGTGGATCTGATTTTGAACAAATAAAATATGTGAAAACCCCAATAGCGTCTCTTAAAATCCCCTGTGTGCTCAAAGAGGAAGCTAGGTGAATAGTTTCAGGAATATCAGATAACACTGATTCACCCAGTTCTGGAAACAAACCTCAGTTTCTCTAGTTGTTGGTTCAAGATGAGAAGACTTCCTTTTTCCATGAACTAATATGTCAACAAACCAGAGATCGGTCTGTCCCCTAACAAAGATGACACATGAATGTGACAAATGTTCCTTCGTTTTCCACCCCTACTCCTGCTGTGCCCTTCTGGTTATGTTGCTCCTGCTGGTTCTCAAGTCTTAGTCATCGCTGGAGGTCCCACTGTCTCCCAGGATCCTTCCCAACTTACTAGCCCCTGGGGACCTTTTCCTCTGAACTCCTCTGGCTCTATGTTAATGTCTTGATATTTTGTGTAGACTTTCAGGGCAAGGACCATGCTGAACTCTTATGACATACCTGTGGGATGCTACTGTTTACCTACCAGCCTGGTAAGCAAAACCAACTATACAGCTCTGAAAAACCACAAGTACTTAGGGCACACCACCTACCTTCTGAACCAGAATCACCACAGGTGATTTGGACTTACCAGAAAATGAGAACCATAGCTATGCCATCACTGAAGGATCACATGGACTAATATACAAACACTTCTTTTAATGATAGGCTTTCTAGTATTTACATTTTGATATACCCACCATATATTTCATGGTATTTTACATACCCAGCCCAGCTTCCTAGCTCCCACTCTTCCCCCCCCCCACCCCCGAGTGTCAGCCCCCTTCTCCCAGTAGAAGTTGACCCTACCTTCAATATCAGGTAAAAGTCTGAGGGGCCTTATTCTTTTGGGAAGCTCACCTCTTCTTCTGCCCTTACCCTTATTTTCCTGGCAACTGTCCTACAATCTTTCTTTCTCATTCCCTCCCTTATCTTCCTTTTCCAAAAGGAACAACTCTTAGGATGATGCCAGGAGAGCAGAGTGAACAAACCTGAGTCAATCTAATTGTGTGTGTGTGTGTGTGTGTGTGTGTGTGTGTGTGTGTGTGTGTGTCCCCTGAGGCTTGAACTCAAGGCTTGGGCACCGACCCTGAACTGTTATTCTTGTTTTTTTGTTTGTTTGTTTGTTTGTTTGTTTTTGGTCGGTTGTGGGGCTTGAACTCTGGGCTTGGGCACTATCCTTGTGCTCTTCAGCTCAAGGCGAGCGCTCTACCTCTTGAGCCACAGCGCCACTTCTGGTTTTCTAGTGGTTTATTGGAGGTAAGAGTCTCATGGCCTTTCTTGCCCGGGCTGGCTTTGAACTGCAATCCTCAGATCTCAGCCTCCTGAATAGCTAGGATTACAGGCGTGAGCCACCAGCGCCCGGCTGAGCTGTTGCTCTTTGTTTTTTGTTTTTGTTTTTTTGGGGTCCAGTCATGGGGCCTGAACTCTCGGCCTGGGTGCTGACCCTCAGTTCTTCAGCTCAAGGCTAGTGCTCTACCACTTGAGCCACAGCGCCCCTTCCCGCTTTTTTTCTTTTTGCTTATGTGGTGCTAAGGAATCGAACCCAGGGCCTCATGCTTACAAGGCAAGCGCTCAACCACTGAGTCACCTTCCCAGCCCATGAGCTGTTGTTTTTAAGCCTAATGTTCTACCACTTGAACCCCAGCTCTGCTTTTGGCTTTTTGAGTCTCACTGATTTTCCTGCCCAGGCTGGCTTCAAAACATGATCCTCATATCTCAGCCTTCTGAGTAGCTAGGATTATAGTCATGAACCATCAGCACCTAGCCTGACTCAATCTAAATTTATAGGTACTAGTAAATGCTTATTATTATTTAAGGTAATTCTATTACTTATGACTGAAATATTCTTCAGGCTACATTTTTTATAACAACTGAGGGCCGTGAAGAGTACTTTGTTCCCATATTTATGACAATTAGAAAAAATTAGGAAAGGTAAGTTTGACAAATGAATGAAATTGGAAGAAAACCGATGACCTATTGAATGTTAATCTTTAGATTTGACTGTGGCAATCATGAGAAGTGGGACCAGCTCTCCAGTCCTTCTACCTACAAGAGAGCAGCCAAAAAGAGGATGCTCACAATGTAAAGATCAGGACAGATGCACTTTCAAGACAGCCTTCGATGTAATATTTGTATAAGCTATGGATCATCCCCCACATCTCTGGAGACGGGGATAGAAGCTAGGGTAAGTGTCTCTATAACTGGCACCTAAAGAAGAACTGACAAGTTCTCAAGGGAGATGTTATAAAAGAGCAAGACTAGCCCTTCCCCACTCTGGATTCCAGTCTCATCACATAGTCTCTCCCTTCCACCTGTGTTTCCACCACTCTATGCCATCTGCTATGTAAGTCCTCAGCAGAGCCCAACAGATGCCAGTACTGAGACCTTGAATCTCTAGAATTGTACCCAGTCTCAGGAAAATAAAAGGCAGACCAATACAGAGGCCTACTTCTGGTTTTCTCTGTTACTATGGCTTAAGACAGCCTGAGTTAGGTTTCCATGAGCTGCAACTTAGTGTCCTGAAATGATAAATAACAGTATTATATGATGTGATTTTTCACCAGTTTCATGAGCTCCAGCTGGTTCACCGATACTCACCTAGTGCTTCCTATTGCCAGATACCAGGGAGATTCCATTCCAGCAAGAGAATACCATCCTTAAATAAGTCAAAGATAAATACCAAAGAACAATTTAGATCTCAAAATGACTGCTGTCAGCGCAGGGAAGATTCTCTCAATGAAAAACAACATTTGAGTTGGGGCCATAACAATGTGATGAGAAAAGGCAGCTGCTTAAACATTTCCTCTGGGAAGAGCAGGTATAAAGATGGAGACAAAAACAAAGCCAAGTGGGTTGCAGTGTCCTGAGCGAGGAGATGAGTAGAAAGAGCCAAGGTCAGAGAGGTCAGTCCTCTTGACCTTGTGAGAGCGTAGGCACTCACAGTGTGTATGGGTGAAGCCCAGTCTTACTTTTGAAAGCATGATTCCAGGGGTTGGGTTGCTGAAGGAAAGCACGATGGAAGGAAGAGAGACCTCAGGAGAGAATGATAATCCAGGTAAGTCAGGAGGGCCTTGAATCAGGTTTGGAGGGCAGTGGAATATAGAAATGAAGAAAGGGAGGGGCTGGGAAGGTGGCTCAGTGGTAGAGCGCTTGCCTTGCAGGCCTGAGGCCCTGGGTTCGATTCCTCAGCACCACATAAGCAAAAAGAAAAAAGCGGCACTGTGGCTCAAGTGGTAGACCGCTAGCCTTGAGCTGAAGAGCTGAGGGACAGCGCCCAGGCCCAGAGATCAGGCCCCAGGACCAGACTCCAAAAAAAAGAAGAAGAAAGGGGGCTCATTCGGGATACATTTTAGAGGAAGAGGAAGTGGGATGTATTTGGGTTAGAAGTGAGATGAAAGAGATGATTCAATATGATGACTAAGTTTTAACCTAAGAAATAAGGTGAATACTGGTATCATTTTAACAAACGAGAAACCCTCAGTGGGGTTTAGGAATAAGGAATCTATATTTCCATCTTGGCTGTGCGAAACATTAAAACAGAGATGACAAATGGGCTGTAGGACGGAGCATGCCTGGAGTTTAGGGGTGATGTTTAGTCTGGAGACACTTATTTATATAAGTCATAGACATAGAAATGAACAGGATGAGGTCACCCAGCTAAAGGAGAGAGAAGACATGGTCACAAACAGAGCCCTAGGCTTTGAAGTATTCAGAGAAGGGAAGAAGAGGAAAAGGAAAATGAGAAAGGAAGTGGGAGGAAGTCATTCAAATCAACATGGCATCCCAAAGCCTAGACATGTGTTTTGTTTTGTTTTGTTTAAACCATGATTGGGCACTGGTCATTCACACCTATAATACTAGCTACTCAGGATGCTAAGATCTGAGGATCCTGGTTCAAAGCCAGCTTGGGCAAGAAAGTCTGTGAAACTCTTATCTCCAATAAACTACTCAGAAAAGGCCAGAAGTGGCACTGTGACTTAAATGGTAGAGCACTAGCCTTGAGTCAAACAAGAAGCTCAGGGACAGTGCCCAGGCCCAGAGTTCAAGCCCCAGGACTGGTAAAAAGTAAAAATACATAAATACATAGATAAACCATTGCGTTGTTGTCTAGGTGGGATGCTGCCCACAGGAGAACTGAGACGAGGAGACTGAACTGACCATTGGCTTTGACAAGATGACCCTGATAAAGAACCTTTCTGTGTGAAGAGAGAGGGAAGTAGTTGGTGAGGGGAACAGGGAAAAGCACCCAGTGGTGGCAGAAACTTGCTCCAGGCACTATGCACTGCTTAGATGTGTGGGATGAATATTTTTAGTTTAAACTTACATACAACAAAAGCTGTATATCTTAAGAGATTATTTTTAGAGATTAAAAGAATCATATAAAATAGGGCTGGGAAGGTGGCTCAGTGGTAGAGCACTTGCCTTGCATGCATGAGGCCCTGGGTTTGATTCCTCAGCACCACATAAGCAGAAAAAGCCAGAAGTGGTACTGTGGCTCAAGTGGTAGAGCGCTAGCCTTGAGCTGAAGAGCTGAGGGACAGCGCCCAGGCCCAGAGTTCAGGCCCCACGACCAAACAGGAAAAAAAAAATCATATAAAATAGAATTAAACACCTCAAGTAAATGATTTGGTGGCATTGGGCATATCCAATGTTGTGTGACCCACCACCTCTATAGAAACCAAAAGGTTTCAAAGGAGATGAAATGCACAGACATACTCCATGAAAAAGGAAGGGTTGTTTTTTGTTTTCTTTCTTGTTTCTTTGGCAATATAGGGGATTGAGTCCAGGGTCTCCCATTTGGTAGTAAAATGCTCTATTAATTGATCAATACTCTTGTCTTTTCATTTGTTTTCCAGATAGGGTTTTGTTTCTTTGCCTGGGCTGGCAATGAGCCTTGGCTCGCCTGCTACTACCCCTCAAGTAGCTGAAAACAAGTTCAAGCCACCATGCCCAGTTTTTTTGTTTTGATTTGTTTTTGGTTATGTTGGTCTTGGGGCTTGAACTCAGGGCCTGAGCTCTTTTGCTCAAGGCTAATGTTTACTCCTTTGAGCCACAGCTCCACTTCAGGTTGTTTTTTTTTTGAGTGGTTAATTGGAGATAAGAATCTCATAGGGGCTTTCCTGCCTAAGTTGGCTTCCCACCACGATCCTCAGATCTCAACCTCCTGAATAGCTAGGATTACAGATGTTAGCCACCAGCGCCTGGCCCCAGTTTGTTTTTGAGATAGGGTCTCCCTAGCTTTTGCCCGGTGACCTCAAACTGTACTCCTACTATCTCTACCTCTGGGATTACAGGTGTGTACTGCCATACCTGGAAGAAGCCTTGGTTTTTAGGTCTAAATAGCTGAGCTTTACATGAAGCTTTCAGCCCAACCAGTCTATGGTATTAGAGGTTGGGATGTGGTTACTTTTGAGCAGGGAGTTACTGATGGAGGGAAGTATGACATCAGGAATTCCCTAGGATTCTGGTGGCAGTTCCTGGACCTGGATGGTAGTTACATGGAGGGCTTCATGTAACGATAATTACTTACAAGATATACTTAAAACGTGCACACATGTTCTAAAATATTTTTGTATTATTATCTTTAAGTGGTTGTACAAAGGAGTTGCCATTTAACAGACAGCAGCTTATGAATATGGTGCATCACACCTTTCTGAATGTGTACTTCAATTAAAAATTTCTAACTGGAAGTGAAGGTGTAGCTCAAGTAGTAGAGTACGAGCCTGGAGCAAAGAAGACAAGTTGAAAGCAAGAGGCCCTGAGTTCAAGCCCTATTCTGACACCATTTTTTTTTCTTGCCAAGGAACGAGAAGTCCCAAGCTTCTATTTCTGCACTGAGTCAGCCTTGGGTAAGTCCCTAAATCCTTCTAGACCCTGAGTTTCCTCATTGTAAGTGGAAGGGTTGAGCCAGATGGTCTCCAGGACTCCTCTAGCTCAACACCATTCTGCATAGCTTCCTCCCTGAAACCCACCTGGACTTTGCAAGAGTCCAACCTCTTTTCTGTTCCTCCTTTCAGAAACTAGCAGTGTGGCGGTCACCTCTGTGGTCCCACTTGTCACAGACAAGGCAGCTGCGGAGTTAATGATAGCACAAATGAAAAGCTGCTGGTAATTAGACGGCTGGGTGTTCAAGCGTTACTGGGAATTGAAAAAAATCAATTAGCCGAATAAGAAAAATGCCATTGAGACAAATATTTATTTTTCTCCCTAGCTTGGATCCAGCTGGTTAGGAGGATAATACGGTGAATTCCAGAAGGGAAAAAAAAATATGTTTCTCATAGATTGGAACTTAATGTATTTAGAGAGAAAAAAACTGCATAGGAGAAGATGGGGGTTTTCTTTCTTTTCTAAGTCTTTATAGGGAATGGAGAAGCTGCAGAATAATCACCTAAGATTTGCACTTGCTGCCATCCTGTTAACAAGCCTCTACCTCTGGCAGTGACCACATCCTTACTTCTTCTTTCTAGACAGTAACAGCAGTGCTTGGAGAGAGTCTGAGGTTATTGATCAGGAATTCTAGGCAGTCTACCCAGCAAGCAAATGAAGCAACTGAGATCATTTTTTTTCTTCACTTTTTCTTGTTCAAATAGCTGCATTTTTACTTACTGTTCAAATAACAGAATTTAGCCAAGCACATATTCCCCCATGGATGTGTATAATTAGAGCTGTTTTCTGTGGTCCTGCATTAGCCCAGGAACTCAGGAGAGTGAAAGAACCTTCCTGAAGCTTCAGTTCCTCCTCTGGGAAAGGATAAACTGAGAGCACTCCTCAATTGTATGCAAAAGTACACATATGTGAAAGAAATATGGAAAATGCTTCTTGCACCGCAAATATTAGCTCTTTCCTTTCTTCTTGAGTGGAAAAGGTCATTCTTACACCTTTGGGGAAGGGGTGGGGCAGGCACCTGTCGGAGCAGAAAGTAGGACTGACTGCTCTTCACCCCCCCCACCCCCCACCCCTGCCCTGCTGTGTGGCCTTGGGAACTCCTGTGCACGTGGACCAGGCCGATTCCTCCCCCCCCCCCCTCCCGCCGCTTCCCCCCCCCAACCCCAAACAGAGCTTTTAGACTCTTCTATGCTTATCAGCTTTCAGTTCCTGCCTGAGTTTTTTTGAACCACAAATAGCCTCAGCAGAGGGAGTCAGATGCTCTGAATCTGCCCTCCCCCACCCCCAATGGATGGAGACCACACCCCTGCCACCACAGCTGGTGACACAGGCCTTTAGCATAATGGAAGGCATTTGGAGATCTATTTTTCTCTCACTGAGCAGAGCATTACTCACCTCACCCCTCTGTGTCACAGAAGGAGAGGGGAAAACACAATAAACCAGCAAGGATGAGTCAAATTTCAATAGAGCATCTCTGCTCACGAAGCAGCGGCTTGCCACTTCTTATGCATTCCTGAGATTCAAATTGCAAAGTGAGTCCTGAACTCCTACTCCTTTCTTCTGTCTTCCCAGTAAGGGCAGCAAATAGAGCTGTGCTTTGTGTTGTTTCTGAGATACCCTCGGAGCCGGCTTCTTCAAGGGACTGGAGAGATAACACGGTGATCCCAGGCTGGCTCTGCTCAGCCCTCATCCTCTCCTGAAATGCCAGCCCACGTACTTGAGCGCTTCTGCCCTTCCGTCCCAGGGGGAGCCTCCACCATCATGACTTTTCAGCTGGCTCTACATCAAGGATGAATATGGAGAACATCTCCTCTCCCCACCAGCACGGTGGCAGTGACAGCCCTCTTAGCAGATAGACTATTTGCCACTGTTTATTCCATAGGATGCTGGTCCATTCCCGCAGGTGGGTGTGAGTCTTCTACTTACAGCTGTGGTGCCTGCAAAAGCATTCTCTCTCTCTCTCTCTCTCTCTCTCTTTCTCTCTCTCTGGCATGAGGTCTTTCCCTAGATATCAAAAGAAAAAGCTACCCCAAACAAACAAACAAAAAAAGACAAAAGCTAAAGGGAAAGAGGAGCTGCCATTCATTTTTGATCAGGTGATGTTAAAGGATAGGTTAAACAATGTATTTGCATACACTTTTCTTCCTTGGCACAAAGCCATGGAAAGACCAGAAGGAAGGTAAGTAAAGGTTGGAGCTGTGTTCAGCGTGTAGCAAGGAACAAAGCACATCCAACAGTCTTCTGTCTCTCACCAGGCACCTTTATAGCATCTCCACAGGCCATAAGAACCAATACCACAGAAAACATGAATTTAAACTGCATTTTAGTTGAGCCTGGTGGCCCCCAAAACTTGGCTCAAATTATCCCCACAGGCAGCTTTCTGATCATAGGAGTTCTGGGTTTGTGCCAAGGAACAGAGTCTCTGGATCTTGGGTAGAAAGGCTTCATTTCAGATGTTTTCCCAGGTGGTCTGATGGCCATTTGGGTTTGGGAGCTACTAAATTGAGGCACATTTTGAAAGAGGATGGTCCCATACCACTACCATCAACAAGGTATCTCAGGTTCATTTTTAAACCTTTTATTGTGAGATATAATACACAGAAGAGTGTCCAAAATAGCCCTGAGCTCAGTGATGTAGCTCAGTGAAAACACCCGTGTCCTACTCCTGGTTGGAAAATAGAGTATTGCCAACACATGTCTCTTCTGCAGCTAAACAAAGTCTTGAAAATGTCCCCACTGCTCTTCCATTCTTGTAGCATCTTGGCTTTTAAGTTATATCTCTGGGCCCCTTTGTTTTAAGGAAATGACCTTTCTTTCTGTTTTAAAACATGTTGCTTTTTAATCAACAGGTAAGTGTACTTACTTATTGGGGACTAGCATGTGATATTCCCATATATGTATATAATATATGATGATCAGCGTGAGATAAGTGACGTATCAACCATACATTGATCATTTCTTTGTGCTGGGAACTTTTAAAAATCCTCTCCACCAGCTAGTTAGAGCTGCCTTCCTGCTGTGCATGGCGGTACACACCTATAATCCCAGCACTAGGAAGGCTAGAGCAGGATTTTGAGTTGGAGACAATAGAAAGAAAAGAAGTTGACCTCGAACCCTCTCTCCTTTTTGTGCCTGTCCTGGGGCTTGAACTCAGAGCCTGGGCACTGTCCCTTAGCAGTTTTGCCCAAGGCTGGAATTCTACCACTTGAGCCATACCTCCATTTCTGGCTTTTTGCTGGTTAGTTGGAGATAAGAGTCTGACAGACTTTCCTGAGCAGGCTGGTTTGAATTCTTAGGTCTCACCCTTCTAAGTAAGTTAGGATTACAGGCACAGAGCAGTGGCGCCTGACAAACCTTTACCTTGCTATGAAGGTGCGGTCAGAATCTTTCCCCAACCGCAGCTCCTCCGGTTGCCTTCCGTGTGATCTTAGACAACTTAGTTAACGTTTCGGTCCTTAGATCATTCCTCTGTAAGATAAAAATAACAAAGGATTGTGTGAGCATTACCTGTATTGAACAGACTCCACAGTGCCTGGCAACCCCACAGGACTCTCCAATCACATTGTTTTTACTTTGCTCAACTCCAAAATGACTCTTCCAGACAATCATCCCCGCCCTCCTACTTCCCTTCCCTAGGGACCTTGTGCCCAAATGCACACACACGTTGTCTTATCTCTGGCTTTGAAAGGAAACTTACCACAGCACCTGCTTTTCCTGTCTCCCTTTGCATACATTCTTTGTAATTACCAATTTCATGTTCTCCTCTCTGCTTTGTCTCTGCTAAGCCGCTAAGATCACATCTGTCAGGATGTCAGATAATGTTCACACTGTCCAGGTGCAGCAGTGACTGCCCTGTTCTGAATCTGTCTAGTCTTCCAGTAGCACTGAAAAGAACCATGCTGAGAGCTGGAGGAAATATTCCAGGGAGAGAGAACTGCAAGTGCAAAGGCCCTGAGGTAAGGACAGCGTAGAGGGCTCAAGGAGTAGAAAAAACAAACAGCAAAGAAACAAAACCTACTGTTGGTGGCTCACGCCTGAAATCCTGCCTACTCAGGAGGCTGAGATCTGAGTTCAAAGCCAGTCTGGACAGGAAAGTCTGAGATTCTTCTCTCCACTAAACTAAAAAAAAAAAAAAAAGCCAGAAGTGGAGCTCAAGCGGTAGAGTGCTAGCTTAGCCTTGAGTCAAAAAAAGCTCAGGCCTGAGTTCAAGCCCCAGGACCAGCACCAAAAAAATAAAAAATAAAAAGGTTAGTATGGGTGGAGCAAGAATGAAGAAGGCCGGGGCTGCAGGGGCCAAGCCTGTGTACTTTGTCACCTGGAGAGAAGTTTCTGCGCAGTGTGGCATAAACAGATGCCTGATGTTGGCGTCTGCCGCCGCTGTTGGGAAGAGCTTATCGGCGACAGGTTTGAGTGCTCTGGGAAGAGACTGAGAAGGGAAAGAGAGAGAAAATCTCAGCATTTCTGTCCAGTTGAGGGGTCAGCATTGTGCCAGTTACAGCTAGGCACTGGTGGCTCATACCTACACTCCTAGCTGCTTAGGAAACTGAGATTTATGGATTGCCGTTTGAAGCCAGCCTGGGCAGAAAAGTCTATGAGAGAGACTCTTATCTCCAATTAACCAGCAAAAAGCTGGAAGTGGAGCTGTGGTTCAAGTGTTAGAGTGCCAGCCTTGAGCAGAAGAAAAAGAAGTGAGAGTGCAAGACCCCAAGTTCAAGCCCCAATACCAGCATGCGCGCACACACACACACACACACACACACACACACACACACACACACACACACTGTATATATGGGGGGAGAGAAAGAGAGAGACTGTACCTGTTAACAGTGGTAACTGCGAGCCAATTTCTAGGTGGCCACTTATTGTCATTTCTATGATTTTCTTGGTGAATTGTATACTTTCATGGTAAATTGTGTTCTAGCCAGTGTTTGTTTTTTAACTGGAAAGGAAGCAAAAGTGGGCTGTGAATTGCAGTAAGAAATGACTGAGAAGATAACCAGCCATGAGATCTGCCCTTGGATCCTCTGATTTTCCAGACTAGTCCAAATAAATACTAATCTGTATTTTACTTTGTTGTCTTGTTGGTACCAAGCTGCAAAGCACACAAAAGAAATCAGACTCTAGAAGCAGACCTTTAGATTCCTGATGCAATGTGTGTGACCTAACATGTGTGATTTAATTTTTCTGGTGTCTCTGTCATACACAGTTCTACCATGGACACCCTTACAGGCAAATACACACACATATTCATTCAACACATATATACACTTAATACACATTCAATGACACACATCCTCAACACCCAAACATTTTATACATACATACACACACCTCAGTGCACAGACCCAATACATATAGAACTCGTACTTGCGCAAACACTCAACACAGTACAACACACTCAATACACATTACTAATAGATACACATATGTAGTAAACATAGTCAACACACACCTTGGCATCCACACTTTCAACACTCAGACAAATGTTCACCCACAGCCTGAACATTTGTGCTGTTACAGTTGTTTCCCCTTTCTTTGCTTTTGTTACCCAGCAAACTAAGAAACTGTAGTGAATCAGAAAAGATCTTTGACCTTCAATTATAAAATTTCATGCCACTTATCTGCCAGACCAGAGCCTGGAACAAAGAGGTCAAGAAAAATGATTGCATAATTCTTACAAATGAAGACATGGGAAACATAGACCTCTCTTTTCTATTGGTCTGTCTCTGTCTCTGTCTATCTCTTTCTCAGATTTTGGAATAGCTGGCCCAGAAAAGATGACCCATTTAGAAATGAGTTCAACAAAAAGTTAATATGTGCTATGGCTTTTAAAGGAGATCTGTTTGAAATAGGTCATTCTGAATTAACTCCTCCACAAAATTGGAAAGTTTAGCGAATATTCCAGAAACCATCTGGATACATTAATTGATCAAGAGACATGAAATGAAAACTTTAATCAAGAATCCCATAAATAAATGAATAGATAATCTTGTCATATCTAAAATTAATTTGCTTTCACTTATAAACTCTGACACTAGTAGCATTCTTCCTCAAAATGAGGAAGCCCTAGACATTCTGGGTGACAGCATATAAATGAGGAAGATCACTGTGTTTCTGGCTTATGATTGTAGTAGAGCATCTCATCTGGCAAGAAATGTGCTGGGATAGAATGTGTTCTGTTCTTAATCTAGCTGTTTTCAGACTTCATGAGAACATTTTGTCATTATCCTAGGGTGCTAGTGTTCCTCTTTTTCATGTCTGCCTCCTTGATTTTCTTTTCTTTCATGCTGTTTTCTATATCCAGGCCTCATGATATTTTTATAATCTCTATTCTATACTGTAAAGCATCTGTCAAGTGTCGAAATATTGCTAACTCAATATAGGTGTTTCACTTAAAAAAAAATCTATGAACACTAAGAGCCGAAGTCACTTCAAGATGTTGATGACAATTGTCTTAATATAGTTTTTGTTTTCATTTCTAACTTATTGTAATCTTATTTTAGATTGTACCAGTCAACCATTAGTGGAAATAAAAACAGCAAACAAAAAGATCCTTTACCTGAATATAGTTTGAGGATCAATGAAATAGGCAACATGAAAGTATAAAAAAATTCTCTCCATGAAGATACACAAAAGATGAAAAACCTTTGGGATTTTCAAGCCACAAAAAGAAGGGTGGGGGCTGGGAAAGTGGCTCAGTGGTAGAGTGCTTGTCTCGCATGCCTGAGGCCCTGGGTTCGATTCCTCAGCACCACATAAACAGAAAAAGCTGGAAGTGGCACTGTGACTCACGTGGTAGAATGCTAGCCTTGAGTTTAAGAGCTGAGGGACAGTGCCCAGGCCCAGAGTTCAGGCCCCTGACGAACCGGAAAAAAAAAAGAAAAAGAGAGAAAGAAACAAAGAAAGAAAAGAAAGAAAGAGAAAGAAAGAAGAAAAGAAAAGAAAGGATGGGGGTTTTCAACACATTAATTGGTAAAGGAGTTATAAAGATGTAGCTCAGAGATACATTGCTTGCCCCACAATCATGAGGACCTGGGTTTCATCCCCAGCATACAGAAGAAAAATAAAGTGCTTCAAACAAAAAAAATGAGTAAAAAGCATGATCAGGCACTTTGCATGAGGAAATCCGGATGCCTGGTGAACATGTAATGTGTCCAGCCCTAGCACCACCAGAGAAAGGGACATTAAAAACACAACAGAGGCTGGTCTTGTAGCTCACTGGTAGAGCGCGTGCCTAGAATGTGTGAGGACCTGCATTCAAAACCTCCCACCACAAAACAAAAAGCCATACCAGAAAAACACGAAAGCCACAAAAGGAGTATCTCAGCACAAAGGCAATATGAACAAACAACCTGAGGAAGAAGACTGTGGTTCATGCCGTGTGGTCCAAAATGCAGTTTGTCCATAAGGTCCAGTCTCCTTACATAGGCTGGGTTTCCCAGCCTGCCTCCGTGAACTAGAAGCTTCTGAACTGTTCTTCTTTCCATCTCCATGGGGTCAAAGATACCCACATAGACTGGCAGAAGAGTGTTTCCCAGCTTCCATGGGCTCTTTGACTTCAGCCCCTTTTGGCCAATTTCCTTTTCTGTTTAAACTCCATTCCCTAAGAATCAGAAGTCCTTTGGGAGACCCTCCTCTGTTGGTGTTCTTTCTTCCTTTCAGCACTGGTCCTCAGCAGCCTTTACTCTGAGTTGAGTAAACATTTGTGCTTTTTACCTTACTTGTTTTTATTAGAAGTTTAAATAGATCAACTGATTTTTCTGACCTATTCAGGACTTTTGCTATTTTTTAATTTTTTTGTTATCATAACGGTGATGGGCAGAGGGGTGACAGTTACAGAAGTCAGGTAAAGAGCACATATCTTTTTGGACCACGTCACCCCTTCCCTCGCTCTCTTCCAGTTTTTCCCTCCTGTCTCCATCCACAAGTTGTATAGTTCATTTTCAACACAGGGTCCAGTGAGTACCATTGCTGCATTTGTTCACCCTTTGTCTCTCCATTTCTGTGTCTCCCTTTTCACTCCCAAAGATATATAAATGAACATATAGAACAAAAAGGAAAGAACACAAAAACAGCAAAAAAAAAAAAAAAACAAAAAAACAACTCTTGTTTTCATTTGTTAGAGTTTGCTGTTTTTAAATAGTAGAGGGAGATGCTAAGCACCAGCCAGTGGGAACTCCCTCTGTGGGTGAACATGACCTTCAGAAAGGAAGGTCATGAGGAGATCCAGATGCCTGGCGAACAGAAAGGAGAGAGCATCTTTCAGGGGCCTGGTGCAGCAGGGCGGGGAGTGGTCTAGTCTGGTGCTGAGATGTGACCGTGCGTACTTGATCATCGTGGGAGGGCACTGGCAGGCGATATCCAGCAGTGCTGTAACTCTGACTCACATGGGTCTCCTGAGCTTCAGGTTGAGGGCAGTTTCCTTCCTCTATTGCAGCAAAGCAAAGCTCTGGAAAGCCCAAGCCTAGGTCATCATCCTCTGTTGAACTTGCGGGGGGGGGGGGGGGGGATTGACCTTATCCCTAGACATGGCTATTGTCATGACTGTCTGGTCATGACTGAGATTCCTGCTTATTGGAATGGGAAGAAATCAGAGACATCAGTGGTATTCTGCAAAGCCTCTAAGAGAGTTGTGTGCCCTTTTCCACCTACCAGGACTGGGGTGTGGGCTTGGTCTCAGGGTTGTCTGCACACACAAGGTCCCTCCTTGGTCCCCTCAGTGTCCTCCAAGTTCTGTTCCCTCCTCTAGTTCTTCCCTCCTCTAGTTCTTATAACTGGAACGTGCGGGGGGCGGGGGGGGGGGCCGCGGGTGTCAGGTTGGACCAACGAGATGGCTGCTGCTTCTCTGCCGCTGGATCCCACCCACAGGGGTGCGGCAGTGGGCAGTCAGTATGCGTTTGCCATCCCCTTGGGAATGCACAGCAGTGGAACAGAAAAGGTTCCTGGAGTAGTCACGGCACAGAAAGTTGATAATAAAGCACTAGGATAATGTTCTCTGTGATCAGAACAGCGAGGTTCCATTTTTTACCTCCAAGACCCCAGAAAGGAAGCTCAGGGCTTGCCTGGGGCTCTGCGGTGGGCACTGGGGAAACGGTGGATGGAGGAAGACAGGACGAGGCTCGGGACTTCATGTGCCAAGTAATAAAAGCCAGACCACCACGTCATACTGCCTGCGAGGGAGGAAGTATACAGTTTGAAGCACTGAAGCACCCAAGCCTGGTCCATTCCAACCCTGCCACTCTTCCTGAATGTCTTTCTCCGGCTTTTCCTTGCTTTCCTAGAGGCCATGATGGAGCCTTCCAGCCTTTCCACCTCTCCTGCCCTCCATACCATCACAGGTCCTATGCCTACCACGCACATCCTTCTGTCCTCCCCCACTCTTTCTCTCAAGCACACACACACACACACACACACACACACACACACACACACATTTGGTGGTACTAAGATTGAATTCAGGACCTTGTAAGTTATTATGAAGTCTGCAAAGTCACTCCCAGGAATTCAATATTACTTTTTTTTTTTTTTTTGGCATCCTTCCACTTGACCACAAGCCAGTCCTTTCTTGCCTTGGTGATTTTCAAGATAGGACCTCACTTTATGCTCAGGGCCAACCTGAGCTAGGGTCCTTCTACTTGTGCTGCTTTCTGAAGTCAGTCATTTTCCATAATGAATGGCAGAGTCAAATTTTCTTCTGGGGATTTCTAACTCCAAAGCCCGAGCGAGGTATCTTTATTATACTGGTACAGACTGATAAACAATCTGCACCTCTCGCAAAAAGAAAATGGACAACTGGCTGGACATGGTGCTATGCCCCTGTATCTCTAGTCCTTGGGAAGCTGAGGCAGGGAATCAAGAGTTTGAGGCCAGCTTGCCAAGGGGAACTTGGCTTAAAAATAAACCACAGGGACCAGGTGCCAGTGGCTCACACCTGTAATGCTAACTACTCAGGAGGCTGAGACCTAACAATCATGGTTCAAAGCCAGCCCGGGCAGGAAAGTCCATGATACTCCAATTAACCACCTGAAAACCAGAAGTGGCTCAAGTGGTAGAGCACTAGCCTTGAGCTCAGGGACAGCACCCAGACCCAGAGTTCAAGCCCCATGACCAACAAAAACTAAAATAACTAAATAAGTAAATAAACCACAGGTGCTGGGAAGGTGGCTTAATGATAGAGTGCTTGCCTAGTATACATGAAGCCCTGAGTTTGGCTCCTCAGCACCACAAAAGCAGAAAAAGCCACAAGTGGTAGATTAAAAGAAGCTCAGGGACAGTGCCTAGGCCCTGAGTTTAAGCCCCAGGACTGGCAAAAAAAAAAAAAAAAAAAAAAAAAAACCACAAGCTGAGCACCAGTGTCTCATGCCTGTAATCATACCTACCTACTCTGAAGGCTGAGATCTGAGAATCATAGTTCAAAGCCAGGCAGGGAGGAAAGTCCATTGAGACTTTTATCTCCAATTAATCTGCAAAACACTTGAAACAGAGCTGTAGATCACTTGGTAGAGAGCTAGCCTTGAGAAAAAAAATGCTCAGGGACAGTGAGCAGGCCATCACACACACACATAATAAATACACAACAAATAAATAAAAATAATAAACAACAAAAACAGAGTGCGATGGAGCATGCTTGTAAGCACGGGAAGGCTGAGGAAGGAGGTTGAGGTCAAGACCAGGCTGGGCTGTAGAATGAGACTCAGCTGCAAAAAGAAGGAAGAGGAAAGGAAGACAACAAGCGTACAAACATACTTTGTATAAAACAAATTACCCTAGATCAAGGATTGGCAAAATATGGCCTGCTGTCTAAATCTGGTCCACTTCTGTTTTTGTAAATAAAGCTTAGTTAGGATCCAATCTCCCTCATCATTGTACATACTGTCTGTGGCCACTAGCTGTGGCCATTAGTTGTGTTGGAAACTGTGTCCTACTTAGACTGAAATATTTACCGTTTGATCTTTTGCAGCGGACCTCGCAATGGATGAGCCTTCATGGACAGAACTAGTATGGCGGGAGGGAGATGGATGGATGGATGGATGGATGGATGGATAGATGGATGGATGGATGGGTGGATGGATGGATGGATGGATGGATGGAGAAATGGAAATTCACCGCTCCTAGTTAAAAGTAATATTGAGACAAGCAGCAGGGTCTTATGCCAGTAATCCTAGCTATTCAGGAAGCTGAGATCTGAGGATTGTGGTTCGAAGCCCGCCCTGGTGGGAAAGGTTGTGTGACTCTTAAGTTAACTACCAAAAAAGCCAGGAGTGGGGCTGTGGCTCAAGTGGTAGAGTTCTAGCCTTGAGCAAAAAAAAAAAAAAAAAGAAAAAGAAAAAAGCTAACTGGCACACACACAAAGAAAAGTAATATTGAATTACTGGGAGTGGCTTTTCAGTCTTAAGAATAACAGCAAACACTTCTCCAGTGCTTCTCATGTAGCTGGCAACATTTTAAGTTTTACACACAACAGTCTTTGAAGAGTAAGCCCATCCCCACTTCACAGGGGAGGAGACGGGAGGGACCTGCGTTGAGGAAGACTGTAGCTTGCACAGCTGGCACGTGGCAGTGCCAGGGTTCGCTGCTGGGCCGTGCCTATCAGAGGCTGTGTGCGGAAGCCCCTGCAGCTGTATCTCTCACCCTTGAGAACTGTGTGTTCAATGATTCACTGGACACAACGGATGCAGCCCTGCTGTGATGACAGGCCATAATAAGACGCCACTGTTTCCCTCCCCTTAGACATTGATCTGACAGCCTCTTGCACCTGCCCTCACGGTGTGGGATGGCTGCCACTCACCTAGCAGCACACCGAATTGGGAGGGTGGTGACTCTCTTTTGATGCACTGGCCTTGCGAGGAGGGAAGCTATGACAGAGTAAAGCTCTTTCCGGAACAGACAAAGCACTAAAGCCATGGTGCAGTGATCTAAAGCAGAGTCACCAGCTGAGTAAGGCAGAGAGGCGGGCTGAGGGCCTGATCACGACGCTCAGGGACTAGTCAGCCCGGCCTTGAGGACAGCTCACATACACTGAGGCTGCAGGCTCTGCTGAAAACCACTTGTGCTTAACTAGAAAGGCTAAGACATGGATCATGCACTCCCCACAACTATTCCCATCAGCACCAATCACCTGTCTTCAGCTGCCTACCTATCCTATCTTAGCTATTTCCTCATCTTTCTGCAAAGGTGATTGGTACAAGAAAATTACGCATCCAGTGCCTGTCAGGAGGGGAAAAAATAATCATCGTGCTTATTCCGTTCGAGGTGGGCGAGAGGAAGGGAGGAAGGAGGCTGCTCTGTTGGAGGATGCTGGCCCGGACTCAGAGAGCAGATGGGATCAGACACCTACCCGCTGAGGTGAACTCACCTGTCCCTAGCACCCGCTGGTTCCTGAGGTCTGGGATCAGACTTCCCCCCCAGCCTCTGCTGGAGATGGGTGGAGCTAACTGCAGGGGGCGTCTCTAAAGAGCAATTGGTATCGGTGCTCTCCACCCACAAGCCCTCCTCCCCCAGCCTGGAAGGAGAAAAACAGGTTGTACCTCATTGTTTCTTGTCACCTATATCTTTTGCTTCTCCACCCCACAACCACACTGAGGAGAACAAAAGGGAGGAGAAAGAATAATTGATCAGGGCTCCCTGGAGCTGTAGGTGTCCGATTGGGAAGAATAAAAATTTTAAAAAAGAGAGGATACATTCTAGCCACAACTAAATAGAACAAAGAGAAAAAGTACTTGGATATGAATAACAGGCTGTCCTCTGAAGACAGCTCCACTATCTGGAGACGTCCCAGAAGACAGGAGAGGGGAGGCTGTTTGTTTAGTTTCTTAATCATTCCCGGGTGTGAGCAGCCCTCAGGAGACACCCAGCTCAGTCCTTGGCTAGTGGCTCACGAACTTGCCCCGCAGACTCTGGCACCTGCTGGCTGGCTCTGGGTGGTTCCGATGGGGAACTGTGGAGAGGGCCCTGGGAGGTCTGCGTGTCCGGCTCTGGCGCTCTAGATGTTTAACCGGGCCTCTGGGTACCCAAAGACCTAGCTGGGATCTCAGGAATGAATTGGTTGTTGGGCATTGGCTCCTGGTGCCCCGGTCGACACCATCTGAGGCCACCGTTCATTTAAATCAGCAAGCGATTATGGGAGAGCCTCAGGTGGCAGACCAGAGGCACCAAGGACCCAGCTAGGCCCAGCTTCCATGGATGCACAGTCCTCAAACCACTGAACATAACACCGGCCACAAGTGACGGTACTGTGAGAGAGGAGGCCCAGGTGCAGAGCTGAAGGCAGCAGGAGATCTAAGTTATTTGGAAGGGTGGCGGCAGTGGGCAGCGTGGGGTGGAGGGCTGAGGGAGGCGGAAGTTGTGTGGACAGAGAGCAGCAGCCTGCTAAAGGGTGCGTGTGAGCATGAGGGCGCTCCAGGGGCCCACATCGGGCAGGAGAAGAGGAGCACCCCGCTCACACAGGACTCTTTCCGGACTTCCCCAAGGGCTCAGGTCTCCAGGTATGAATGCACGGGCCCCAAGTTCTGCCTTGGGAGAGTTGCCGGTTGTTGGCTAAGGCTGTCTCTCTCTCCCTCCCTCTCCCCCCTCCTCTCTGCCTTCTTCCCCTCCCTCCCTCCACCTCCATACTCAGAGCCTGCAGCTCTCTTTTTTTGTCTGTTTCAGTGACATCATTTCTGCCCTCTCTGAGCTACACTAGGCAAAAAGGCAAACCCAGCAAAGCAGATGGAAGACACAGGAAAGACCCTCTGAGGGGCCTCCTTCCTGAGCAGCCCGCATTTGTCCGGTGCTGAAGGCAGGGCAGCCACTCGAAGGAGGGCAGGGTGGGGCTCTGCCCTGTCCGGGCTCTGCCTCAGCTTGCTAGGTGGCTCTGAGCAGTCTGGGTTAGTGTCGTCTCACCTCTGGAATGAGAGGAATGCTCTAGAGAGATGGTTTCCTACAGGTAGGCTTTACAGGAGATAGGAATCCCTGAAATAATATATAAAGTTGAGTGGTCTTAATTATCTGTGCATTTTCCCCAGAAGAGATCCATCTGTGTGTGTGTGTGTGTGCCATGCACCAGTACTGGGGCTTGCACTCCGGGCCTGTGTGTTATCCCTTAGTTTTTTTGCTCAAGGCTGGTGCTTTACCATTTGAACCACATCTCCACTTCCAGCTTTTTTGGGCCTGAACTCTGGGCCTGGGCGCTGTCCCTCAGCTCTTTAGCTCAAGCCTAGCACTCTACCACTTGAGCCACAGTGCTGCTTCCAGCTTTTTCTGCTTACGTGGTGCTGAGGAATCGAACCCAGGGCCTCATGTGTGCAAGGCAAGCGCTCTACCACTGAGCCACCTTCCCAGCCTCTCCAGCTTTTTTTTTTTTTTTTTCTGGTTAATTGGAGATAAAAGTCCTTTGGATTTGTCTGATTGGGTTGGCTTTGAACAGCAATCAGCAATCAGCCTCCTGAGTAGCTAGGATTATAGGCATGAGCCCACAGGCCTCATTCAGTTTTTAACCAGCCAAGGCCTGCCTTTTAAAGGCTAGAACTTCCTGTCCCCAAACCTATAGCTTTCTGGTCTCATCACAAGTGCTCTTACTATGAAACTGTAAGGTGGAAAAGGCAGAGAAACAAACAGTGGGAAGGAGGCCAGAGGCAGGGCTACAGAGAGGAAGTGCTGCTATTACATTTCTGGTAACTGACTCACAGAGATCTCTAAAGAAAGAGACTCAAAACTGTAAGGTGTTAGCTATTTGCTGAGATCCCCTCCCCTCCTTGTGAATATATATTCACTTTTGTACTTAATTTTGCTTTCATATTTTTATGTTCTTTTTGTTGTGTCCCAGATTGCAAGTCTTTGGATTTCAGGCAACCTAGATTTACTCCCGGGGTCCTGGACACAGCCAAAGACAAAATAACCTTCAGAAGCACTGGCCAGGCTGCTCAGACTGGCTCCATTAGCCATGCAGTTTCCTCCTTCTCTTCCTTCTCTTTCCCTCATCTCCTTCCTTCCCTTTTTTCCTTTAATGTGGATTCTAGGAAGTAGGCCGGAAATGACCTGAGCCAGCCTAACAAGCTAACTCACTGTGGGACAATGGCCCGGTATTTTCAACGTGGGAGTGACATCTGCTCTGACTCAAGCCAGATCTGCCTGGGGAAGGGAGGGCACTCCTTCAGAGCAGCCAGTGCGGTACGTTTCAAGCAGCCCAGCTGTATTCTGCATGACCAAATCGGACACCTCTCACTTCCTCTGTGAACAGAACTTGGCGTGTGGATGACGTGTGAGGCAAGCCGGTTGTGCAAAATAACAAACTCCACCTTTGGTCTCTAACCTCAACCCCTAAGGCCTAAAAAAAGAAAACAGAAAAGAGCAACTGCGCAAAGGAGCTCAACCAAATGAGAATTTTCTAAAAAGCCAGGAATGTTGGCACTGGTCGCTCATGCCTAAGAGCCTAGCTGCTCAGGAGGTTGAGATCAGAGGATTGTGGTTTGAAGCCAGCCTAGGCAGAAAGTCTTAACCAGCAAAACGCTGGAAGTAGAGCTGTGACTCAAGAAGAAGTAGAGTACTACCCTTGGGTGAAAAAGCCAAGGTACAGTGCCCAGGCCCTGAGTTCAAATCCTAATACTGGCTCATGTGTGCATGCACACACAAGCACACTCCTTCTCTCTCTCTCTGTCTCTCTGTCTCTCTGTCTCTCTCTCTCTCTCACACACACACACACACAGAGCAACACATAAGGCAACACACAGAGCTACAAGTGTCCTTGCCTAACCTGCTAGAATCATCAGTGCCTCCTGGCCATGGGACCTAAACCAGTTTACTAACACTTCACAGTCCCTGCTTCTTCGTCGAAGGGACAATGTCGAGGGGACAATGGCTGACATGTTTCTGGGAGGCTTAACTGGGGTGGCCCCCAGATGACACAGATGAATTGTCCTCCGCAAGAGGACATGGTCACCGGCCTGCTTGTGACGTTGACCTTTGTAAACACTTTCTTGGTTTCGGCTGCCATCTTCCCCCATCCCACATGAAGGGCTGGGCCAGCCGTGGAAGCTCTGCCTCGTGCTGAACCTGACCGAATTCCTAAATCCAAGGGAAGCCCCTTGTCTGTCTGCAGGGGTGAAGACAGATGGTTCAGACTCTGGAACAGTCCATTTCCTTCCTGCTCATAAGGCTAGACCAAGCAGTCCTCTGGGAATGATGCTCCGTGGATGTTCTCAGCTGAGTTAAAGTAAGCAAAAGCGGAAGTATCTGTAAGTCACACGAGGCAGCATTGGTTTGTGGTGGCTGCTCAGGGCCCACTCACAGGTGTGGCTTGCGGGGGATTCAGTTGAAGATCAACAGGCAGCTGGTCAAGAACTAAAAGTCAGAGATCCGGGCTAGGGATGTGGCTCAGAGGTAAAGCACTTGCCCCACATGAACAAGGCCCTGGGTTCCATCCCCAGCGCCACAAACAGAAAATGAAAACAAACGGAAGTCAGAGATCCAGAGCTTGTGCTTCTGGGATGGCAAACTTGGGCAAGTTGCTGGCTGACATTCTCAGGCCCACAGCTTCCTATCGAGTTGGGGGAGATGAGGGGACTTAAAAACCCACCTCAGAGATAGATAGATTTAGGGCTAAGTGACACTACTTAGCGCAATGGCTAGCACATAGTAGGTGCTAGCACATAGTAGGTGCTCTGTGTATCATCACTGGCTCACTCTTTCTAGTTCCCTGGTGGCACTGTCCCCTCACCCTCTGGTCCTGCCTGTGAGAACTGAGCCATGATCAGAGGCCTCGCTCTGTGTCACCACCATACAGGGCAGCCTCGAAAGCCATGTACTCAGCAGCATTGTATCTCTCCTGTTCACCTGGCCAGGTCAGCCCGTGGGCCTTCTGGGTTTGGTCTCAGGTCTGTACACTGGAAGCTACCTGCCTGGTCACCACCATCTGGGCCTCTGAGCTGCTCCAAGACCTCTGTGCCCCTTGTCAGCTCCCCATCCTTACCTCAACCAGGCACTGGAGAATCTAAGCCACGCCCCGAGGCCCTCTTGCCGGCAGCTTCTGCCCCACCTCTGGACCTCTCCCCTTCTCCTTGCTCACAGCCCACGGCTTGCCTCTGGAGTTTGGCTTAAGCATCCCTCCCATTCGGAGCCTCCGCAGATCCCTAAGGACTCATGTGATCGTGTCACCTGAGGCCACCGCCAATGCCACTGGAGCACACTGGGGCCAGCTGACAGCTAAGGCAAAGACAGGATGTGGCGTGAGCCAGCCCCGTCCTAACCAAGTCTTCTCACATTAACGCACACACAATTGCCACGGAGGCAGGGACAGAGGTGGCTGTTCATGTGCAGGGGACCCAGTCTCAGACCGCACCTGCAAATGGTGCCCGACTCCACACTTCGCTCGGTCGTCCCTCCACACGTCTACCCTTAACGAAAGCTAATGTACAAAGGAGAGTCAGCGAGACTTCAGCAGCAGTGACTGAGAGACTAGAACAATCATACCCTAATTTATAGAGTATGAATTACTTGTGGAATTTTTCAGGATCATGGTTGATGTTGGACAGCTAAAACGATGGATAAGCGAGGCTACTGGCTCTCATTCCCATGCTTACAGAAGCAGACTTGGAGGCACAGAGAGGGTAAGTGACTCACCTGTGGTCACACAGCTACTAATTAGGGGGCCGGATTCTAGGGTTGCTCTGCATCCGTGTGATGCTATCCTGCTTGTCTGCTTTGTTTGCATGCCTGCCCTCCTTTCTGCTCTGTGAGGGCCCCTAAGGGCCTCTCCGCTTGGGGAAGGAGCAGCAAACCTGGCGCAACGTCAGCTCCCTAACAGAAGCCTTTGCAAGTCCCTGAATTGAGTCATTCAGCCCTTGCCCACCTCCCCCCACCACAGAGAGAACCTAAGTCTCTATTTTATCAGGAGAGACAGCGGGCCACAAGGTGAATCCCCCCCCCCCCACTTCAGTGGACTTCCTCGGAATGAACAAGAGGAGCGGAAGGGAGGGCCGCAGCTTGCGAAGGCTCGTCCTGAGGATGCTCTGGTAGAAGGAACCAGAGTTCTGTCTTCAGAGGTTTGAGGTCCAGTGGCGTCTCCACGAGTCCCTCTCCTTGGCCTGGCCCCCTCCCAGAGCTCCACACATCTCTCAGGTAGCTAGGAGTTCGGTGGAGGCTTCTTATAGCAGGTAGCACCAGGTTAGGCTTGTGTGGTAAGCCATGGGGCAGAGCTCTGCAGTGCTAGAGCAGTTTCTCTTCTGATTTTTGAAGTTTCTGTGGCCAGAATACAGCCCCTACTTACACCTGGATCGCATGCCTGTGGATGAGGCAGGCTCACCCTCGGATGATGGGGCTTGCCAGGCCTAGGGCCTGGGGCAAACCAACCACACTTTCCAGATGGGCATGTCTCCAAGACCAGCAGCCAAGATAAGACAGATACAGCAACAGCCACAGTAGCAACAACAAAACAGCAGTGAGAGTAGCAGCTTGATAAAAACAGGTCGCATAGGCCAGTCTTGGAGCCAGCACAATCTGCAAAGGATCTAACTTCGTCATCCAGGTACATAATCAGATACCAACATTCCATTTTACCAATGACAATACTGAAGCCCTAACGTGGACCAGCTCGCTCCAAGCCCCATAGTAATGGAGCCAGACATCATAACTCTTCTAGATGCTAGGTTCCACTGGCCTATTGGCTGATACTGAGCTGTTTAGAGCAGCAGAAATGACTGAGTGTGTCTGAGCAAGGCTGTCTGCAACAGCCAGGGATTCTCCTGCACCAGGGCTCCGAGTAGAAAAACAAGAGGAAATAGGCCGCCCCACCCGGCAGCCCCATTCCAACCCACTTTCCTCTCCTACACGTTTCCCATCCTCTCTTTCATCATCTTCCAATGTCTAGCAGAAAAGAGGAGGCCGCTGAGTACGAGCAGCCTGCCTGCTTCTCTCTGTCTTCTGTTGCATGTTCTAATCAGCCCTTTGAGGTTGGCACCGTTCTTCCCATTTTGCAGATGGGGAAACTGAGGCTCTGCAAAGACAAGCACCTTGTGATGATTATTTTGCTGGCAGAATGGAGGTTGAGACAAATCTAAACCTGAACCAGAGCCTGCACTTGGTCTGCCTCACCATGAAACAAGAGAGAAGGTTCTGAAGTTGCAGGAATGACTTCAGAACCTTGGAGAGCAAGGCGGAGCCTGGCTGGGCAGTAGAGCCTTTTCTGGGACAGCTCAGCCCAGACCTGTTTGGCTATGATCAGCAGCTAGCCAGAGGTTCCCATGGGCAAAGAGCAATCCTGCGTTCCGTGACTTCCCTTGGCTTTGCCTGCAGCCACCCAGACTCCCGGCACTGAAATAGCCACCCACTGCCTCTCGATGTAGAAACAGAGGTAGGCAGGGGCTAGTGGAGTCAATAGGACTTAGGAAACTTCAAGGCCGTCCAACCAGGTGGCCCTGGATTGAGTCCCAGAGCCTCCTCTGGCTGATCCGCTGAAGGGTCACATGACTAGGTAAGGCACCTTGCTAAACTCTCGTGTTCATATTTGTCAAAAAGGGATCAACCATGTTTATTACTGTTTTAGTAGAACCAGATTTGTATTATCATCTGTCCTGTTAAAGTTTGGATATTGATTAAACACCCCCAAAGGTTCATATACCGGAAGTGCAAGGTTCAAGTGGCAAGACCTTTGCGAGGTGGGCCTAATGGAGGGTCCAGGGGACTCCATTGTCAGGAATGTCACGGGAGTGGGTAGAAATGGCCCTCATTTCCACTCACTGCCTGCTTGAGTTGCATCAACTAAGAGAAAAAGATGTCCCTTCCGATGACCCCCTCAAATAGATCCCTAGGGGAGAAGCATCACTCTAAGCCCTGGAGTCTCGGATGAGGAAGATAGCCCCTGTAGTTGTCCACACATGCAGAGCGGCCCCTGTACTATGTCAGATCTGCAGCGCGTCCATCTCACCCAAAACCAGAGGGCCTAAAGCCTTCTTAACACTCCCTAACTACAGGTGAGCTGAATGGCCAGTCTTGGCCTCTGTTTCTTAGGTGTGAAATTATAGCCAATTAGATGAGCTCTAAGATTCCAGGACTGCATGCCAATGCCAGCCCCTGACTTTGTAAATAAGGGGTAATACCCAGAATTGCATCATTTCACCTAAGGTCACAAATGTAACCATTGGCTGAGCCACAGATTAGTAACACTCAGGTTTTGTTTCAGCATCCCCTCCCCAGCTCATACAAACCCTTCATACCCTTCACCTCCTGGCCTCCTTGGGTAAGAAACATTGCTTTTATTGAGTGCTGGTGGCTCAAACCTGTAATCCCAGTTAGTGGGGGGCGGGGTGGGGTGGTAAGGGGGGTGGGGTGAGATCTGAGAATGAGGTTCAGAGACTTATTTCCAATTAACCAACAAAAAAAAAAAAAACAAAACTGGACATGGAAGTGTGGCTCAAGTGGTAGAATACCAGCCTTGAGTGAAAAAGCCAAGCAAGAATGCAAGGCCCTGAAGCACAGTACCAACACAAAAAAATGAAGGGAGGAAGGAAGGAAGGAAGGAAGGAAGGAAGGAAGGAGGGAGGAAGGGAAGGAGGGATAGAATGAAGAAGGAAAGGAGGGAGGAAGGAAAGAAGTAGGGGGAGAAAGAAGGAAGGAAGGAAGGGTGGTTTCTTGTGCTAAAGAAAGAAAAAAATGGAGTGAGTGGTGGGGCCTGGTCATTTACTTGCACCATTGAGTAAGCAAGGGCACAGAGAAAACTCTCTGTAAATAACAGCAATACCAACTCCATGACTTTAAAATGAACCGACGCAACTTGCAAGAAACATAGGGCTAATTGGCTCTTTCAAGACAGTGGAGAATCTGAGGGTGCTGAATTGTGTGCTGTTCCGTGGCGGGCTGCTGTGACAGAGGGCGAGTGCCACTCCGGGGGTGTGTTAATGAAGGCTCCGCGTGCACAACACGAGTTCCGTGGCGGGCTGCTGTGACAGAGGGCGAGTGCCACTCCGGGGATGTGTTAATGAAGGCTCCGCATGCACAACACGAGAGGCAATTCCTCTGCTCTCCCTGGCACTGGGTCCTCCTGGCAGGAGAGCTGCCCGAGGGGCTGGAAGGAGTTCAGAAGAAAGTTCATGGAGGAAGCCAGATGGAGAATGGAGAAGGAATAGGACTTGCTGCCTGGACCAGCCATGGCCACACAGAGCACTCTTGTCTGTCTACAGTCTCCTTATCCTGGAGGACAGGAAGAGAGGCTAGGAGGAGGAGACTGCAGCTGCTGGTAGAGAGACATCCAGGCAGCATCCGGGTCCCTTCCTGTGTGGAAGCTGCTGTCTCTGATAGCTCCAGGGGTCTGGGAAGCTTCTAGAGATGTCATCCAGCTGGGGTACCTAAAGCCCCCTCAAAACAAAAAAACATGGCCAGACAGGTGACTCAGGAAAGTGGGAGGTGCATCACCAGTCTGTGGCAAAGCCAGCTCACCCCACCCAGATCAGGTCAAGTCATCTTCAAAACAATGCTGAAGCCAGGCACTGGTGGCTGACACCTGTAATCCTAGCTACTCAGGAGGCTGAGATCTGAGGATCGCAGTTCAAAGCCAGTTTGGGCAGGAAAGTCTATGAGACTCTTATCTCCAATTAACTGCCCAAACCCATTCATTGTATCCCAAAGGCTACCTGCTACTGCCATCAACTGCCTCTCCTCTTTAGTTCTTCCAACCCCCTACCCAGGAGGTCACCAACTCCAGCAAAGCAGCATGCACTGTGCACAGAGCTGTCTGGGACCTCAGCAGGTGAGGTCTGCAGCAAGGGGGAAGGTAAGGGACCTCGGAGGCGGTATCTCGGGGATGGGGAGTTGTCTTCAGGTGAGTTTGCCCCAATCCTAGCCTGAGAAACACTGCCCTAGGCTTCCTGTAGGGACCTCCTTTGGGCCCAGACACCTCAGGCTGCGGACGGATAGAGCCTGGTTAGTGCAGGCAGAATGTGAAGACAGCTACGAGGGACTGGAGGAACGTGCCCAGGGTGGTCCATCTCAAGGACGCAATTCCAAACCCCTAGCACATCCCGTGGTATCCTGCACTGCTCAGGACGGGCCCACCTCAGGATCCACCCCCCCTCCCCCCTGCCACTGCCCTTTCTCTCCACTCAGGTGACCACACAGCACAATGCAGATGGATTCAGACTTCAGAACCACCTGGGAGATGGCTAATGACTGGTTCTTGACCTCCAGGTTCTGATTTAGTACCTGTGAGCAAGACCTTGAATGGGCCATTTTTAGCAAGCTGAGAATTTCCCAGGCAAGTAGTTCCTGAACTCTATTGGGAGAATCGTGGTTTCACCATCAAGAGCTCAGACTCTGACATTAGATCTAGATTCAAATCCCAGCTCTTCTACTAACCAGTTGTAGCACGCCTGAGCCTCTGTAAAAGGGGAGTGGGGCCGCTGCCTGGCCCCTGCTGTGAAGGTTGAATGAGACCGGTCACGCACAGCTCCAGCAGGCTGTGGGGCAGGCCCTGAGCCCTTCACCAGCATTGGCTCTTCTTGCTGGTTGCATCCCTGCGGTGGCACAAACATAGGTGCTGGGGGAGGGGTGATGACGTATGTGTCTCTGACTCACACCTGTCCTACTTTTTTTTTTTAATAGAAAGCACTAGAAATGGAACCTAGGGTTTCACACATGCTAGGAAAACACTTTACACTGAGCTATAGCCTCCCACTCCTTAAATTTCATTTTTCTTTTTGGTTACTTGTGGGTCTTGAACTCAGGACCTGGGCACTGTCCCTGAGCTCTTCAGCTCAAGGCTAGCACTCTACCACTTTAAGCCACAGCTCCACTTCTGGTTTCCTGGTGGTTAATTGAAGATAAGAGTCTCATGGACTTTCTTGCCTGGGCTGGCTTTGAACCATGATCCTCAGATCTCAGCCTCCTGAGTAGCTAAGATTACAGACATGAATCAGCTTAAATTTTATTTTTAATTTTTATTTGAGACTAGGTCTTGCTACATTACCCAGGCTAGCCTTGAACTCATGATCTTCCCAGCCTGCCTCAGTGTCCACAGTCACTAGGATTACAGGGTGGGTGCCGCCACACCTGCCCAAGGTTGTCGTGTTCTTTAAGGAAAATGATGTAGGGCCTTTGGGGCTAATGTGCCCCCTTTGGAAAGCAGAGCCTCTTTTCTGACCTTGGGGTGCTATTTTCTCACCCCAAGGATGAATTAAGATTCTGTCACTGACTGCGTTCTTGCAGAGCAGCGAAATGGAAGACTCTCCCAGAACTTTGCATCCAGCCAGAACTCTCCTGGGAAAGTCTCTTGACAGCTTAGTGTTTTGCTTGCCTTGGAAAAGAAATTAAAGCCAGGTGCTGGTGGCTCACACCTGTAATCCTAGCTACTCAGGAGGCTGAGATCTGAGGATCTCGGTTCAAAGCCAGCCCGGGCAGGAAAGTCTGTGACACTCTTATCTACAATAAACCACCAGAAAAATCTGAAATCCAGAAGTGGAGCTGTGGCTCCGGAGCACTCACCTTGAGTGAAAAAGTTTAGGGACAGCACCCGGGCCCTGAGCTCAAGACCCACAACCCCACCACCACCCATAGCCCCCCCAAAAAAGAAAAGAAAAAAGAAGAAAATAGAAGTCCACTGTGGTCAACTTCTTGACCTTGGCTCCTGTGTGGTAGGAGGAGCAGCACAGAGCCAGACAAATGACAGCAACCCAGGAGAGGAGGTCTCTCGGCAGCACTCTGCTGGCAGCTGAGCCCTCCAGGGCTGAATGTCTAGGGTGATCAGCAGGACCAGGACTGCACCCTCCGGCCATGCTGGGCTCCTTCACTGGGCTCTTCTTTCTCTCCCACTTCCACTTTGAGGATCATCACGAGTCAGGGTCCACTCTACAGGCAGTAGTTTATGGGCCATACCTTTGGTCACATTGGTCTTCCCCAGGAGCCGGGCTGAGAGGCTGATGCAGGGGTTTGAAGAACACCAGTAATTCCAATCATTCCAAAAATCAGGGTAGCAGGGCTTGGAGGCATGGCTCAGTTGGTAGAGTGCTAGCCAATGAGTGCAAATGGCAAGTACCTAAAAATGTTTCTTAAAAAACAAAAAGAATCAGAATGGCAGAGAAGACTACTGGACAGGAGAGAAGCTAAAGCAACTGAGGAAGAGAGATGAGGTTCAAAGGGAGCTCAGAGTACCAACTGGCAGCCTGCCCATGCTAACCGCTTCAAAGCTTCCTCTCGGTCCACAGCGCAGTCTGAGCTATATCCTTATAGAAAGTGATGACCTTGGGCTTAAAAATCACCTGTCCCTTAGGATTCTAGGCCCTCCCACAGGTTTTGAATCCCGTTCAACTCCACTTATCCTCAGAAGAGGCAACACGTTTCATATAGTACTTGTGTTTGATCTATGCCAACAAACAACAAGCTCTTCATATGTTGCTAGCTAATAAGAGAAGTAAGTAGCTCATAGTGCGCATAACTGTCATTAATACTTCAGTACTACTGAAATTCCAGACCTTGGCAAAGAAATCTTTAAAAATTAAGTAGAAGAGAGCATTGGGTTTCTGCTGAAAAGACACAGAGGGAAAGGACTCAGCACTATTTGTTACAGTAGAGCCTGCTAGAGTGTGGATCCTGCAGCAAGTAAGAA